ACATTAACGAAAAACTAAGCAATCATGTTCTAAGATTTAAATAAAATGGAAAATATGTTATTGATCAGTAAACGTTTCACATTATATGATTTAAATTGCCCACCTCTTTTATGCGATGCACTGTATCATTATATCACCATGACAACATTTTTTTCTAGAAAAATTTTCTGTTGCATTCATTAAAATGTCTAATTTCATTTTGGTTAAATCCTCTTGAATAAATATTTCAGTAGATTTTAAATACTTACGGTTGGATAAATTTTTTTCTTTGGTGGTATTCGAGAATCGCACCAAAACAGCTGCCGGCCTCGGATTATCAGCGTTCATGTTTTTACTGGGAATTCTATGACACTTTTTTATATCGGATAAAGTAACGTTTTTTTTTGTTGTTAATTTTTAAAATAACGTCGGAAATATTTTCATTCTGTTGAATACAAAAAAACCTCAAATTTTTGTTACGATCTTTTTGTTGTAGATCGTCTAATTATATTTTCCCCGTTGAAATCTTTAATTATTTTATTTGTCTCCGACTGTAGTTGTTCAAATTTATTTGTTATAATATGCCCCATTTTTTCTACTAGTTTTTGTAGGCAATCAGTATACATCATATTTTTGTCTCTATGATATTGGCTATTTCTTCTTGATCACACTTTCCATTTTGCACGTGAAATTATCAAAAAAATAAACTATGGCTATTTATCAAATCCAAAATCAACATACTCCGATTTTTAAACGTACTCACATTGAATAGACTCAAACCTCTGATAATAATTTTGATAATTTAATTTACAAAATAAATTTATAAATTACCATATTTCTTTCTTATAATAAATTTTACTGATCATGTTAACAAAGTACCTACAAATTTAGCGTTACAACGAAACATTATAAATAATGATAGGTATATCAGAGAAGCTATTAAAAGATATTAATATTGAATCTGGGACTCATTCTTTGAATTAATTACAAAATAGTATGGCACGATATAGAGATAAAGGTTGATATATTAGTATTTGGAAGGATTAACTGAAAGTTTTACATAATAATATGAGATATGAACTATTTAATATTGGATTTGTTTTAGATTCGGTCAAGGAAAAGATACAAATTCATTAATCATACATTTATCACTGCTGTGAAATAATATCAAATCAGTTGTATATCTTCTAATAATGAAAATGAAAGTCTTTCTAAATTATATGTATATGTATCTCTTCGGGTACGTACAATGTTCGTGATCAGAGTGGAATATTATTTATTGAGAAACATTAATCAATTGACATTCTGAAATTAGATGCCATTTTGCTGCTTTGAGCAGTTGTATTAGATAATAAATAATAAGCTGTAGCCTTTGTAATACTTTACCGCTGATAACTACTTGGTAATAAAAATATGGGTGGTGCAAATTACTACAGTCTAATATTCAATCCATAATTCTGATAATAGTTATTTTCAAATCTAATAAATACAAGTGTTATGTAAAAAATTAGCCAGTTTCAAATTTCCATATTATGTTCTTTGTTTAGGATCATTATTTAAATATTAACCTCATTGGCAAGGTGTTAACCCTATTATAATAATGAAAACATTTAAGTTCCTAATCTTTCATAAAAAAATATAATTAATTCAAAGTGATTTATCGGTGATAATTTCTAGTAAATAGATCAAACAAAAATATCCAAAAATGGAGAATAGAAGTATCGGATTACATTAAAATGTTCTTAGTGCGTCTCTACAAAAACAGTTAACTTATTTCAGTCAATAATAAGGTGTTGAATTTTAATTTTAAATAATAAAATATCAAATATCATCGGACTCTAACTTAATATTACTGAACAAAAATCTCCTTATATTATCTGCCGTACGTTTGTACAGTTTTGCTTTTTATTAATATATTTAAACAAGTATGAATAGAGGATATTAATCATATTATACAGTGAGAATCTTTGTTACTCATTAAATTTGAAATGGTTGAAGATGTTGCAGTATAATGGATTAGTTTTACTTTACTTTAAACATTAGTTATATGTAGTTGTTAAATTTTTAACTACAAATGAGTCTTCTTTCAGTTGTTACACAGTAAGAAATTGCTGAATATTTTCTATTCAAGAAAATACCCCTATGGGTATTACTGCCACCACCTCCACCAATATTCTCGTTTTTAAAGATTACACAAGTTTGTTAATTGTATTAACATTAGATTGCCAATGTACATTTTTAAAACTCTTGCATATCTCCCTACTTTCTTCTTCTATAGCAATCGATGGTCTAGCTATGCTTTTCTTAGTCCGTCGACTTAATATTGTAAAAAGGATTCGACATATGGTGGCTCTAAAAGACGTTACTTTTATGATTCCTGTGTATGTCTAACGTACAAAATCCAGTGGTACTTTTGCTTCTCAGAAATTTTCATTTATTCGAATTTGTTACACAGTTTACTGTAACAAATAAAAAAATTAAATATTACAGGTCATTTTCTAACTGTTCTAGATAAACTATTTAGCAGAGAGGGCTATTTTCTTAGGCTGTGGTCTACCTCTACTTTCAGATGTGCAGATGAGCCAAAGATAGTAAACCTGAAATAAATAAAAACAATTATTATAATATAAATGTTCCAAAAAGTAAACAATATTACTTATATGTTTATTTATATTATTTTGTTTGATTTTAATACTGCTCCTATCTATTGAAGTCAATTTTTTTGGTATCTGCCTTCTACAAAGAATTGTTTCATGACTGATCACATACCTTTTTACATAAGAGCAATAAACATTTTCCTTAAAATGCTGAGAACAGACAAAACAGAGTTTAGCTAAAAATAATTTCAAAACAATTTGATTATTAGTTTGTAAACACTGTTCAAGTTAAGTGCTCGAAATTCCTTGGAGACCTGAAAAATAAAAAGCATTTAGAATACAACAATATGTGAAAATGTGATTTTGTAGAATTAAAATATCTCCATTTCTTACTAAAATATCCGGCCTGGGAGTTTTTATTGGTATAGTCTTAGAATCACTTTTTCTAAGATGTGAAAGGGCTTGTGTGAGAAAATGATGGCAATTTATAAACTTTTCTATGTTCTGAAAATTTGAAGACCACGCTCTACACTCAAGCCATTATTTTTTATGGGTTTTTAAATTCGTAAGTTTTTATTGCAAAAAATTTCGTTGATGGGAAAATAACTGAAAAATCGAAAAAATTTCTGTTAAATTTTCCAATCCCAAAATGGACGTCTGTAGAAAAATCAGTTAAAATCTCAATTATTTCTTACAAAATTAGTACCTTATTTTAACTCTTTAGCCTCTTGCAACACTAAAGCCTTTGGTTTTCCAAAGCCAAGTTTTCTTAATTAATAATTTAGTGAACACGGCTTGCGTGGAAATATGATCAAAAACACCTTTTATTTCTATTAAGGAAAATCGAATTTTCCATATTTTAACCCCAGGGACCACTCGTAAATTTCCTTTCATTCTATTCAATATCCATGTACTTGTCAACCCTCTTCGAGGCTTGTATGCGAAAATGGGGCACTCAAATCAGTCACTATTTGAAGGTCTATTACGCTGAGGTTTATTATGTTACTATATTTTTTGTAATGTTTTATTTCCACTTATTGTAAATCAATTTTTTTATTGTAGGCCTGCTCTACTGAGGTGAAACTAGTCGAAAGCGCCTCAATAAATATAATGATGTATCGATTTTGTGTTTCATTCTTTTACATAATTATAAAATTGATTATTTTTAAAACATAACGCTTATGACCATTAAAATAAATAAGCTCGCAAAGATTATTTCTATTGCTAGCCGTTTATCTTGTTGATATGTATTATTACAGATCACTGATATGAACGGCGAGTTTGTTTTGTTTTCGTCTTTTTTATCCTATACATGATTTGCCACAAAATAAAAATGATTCTTTTGAAGGAATGATGTAACAGAAGTAAAACCACAAAAATGTAAAAACGTGACACCGGAATGTTCATTCTGTGATGAATTTATCAGAAATTACTTTTTCTTTCATGACATTGTACCAGGACAACACCGTTCATTATCACAGGCAAGGATCAACTTACACTTTCTATTAGTGTCTTTAAAAATCGCCAATGTACGACATGCCGAAACGTAGTGAGCAATTGCGGATGCCGCTCGAAGAACTACGACATCGATAAACTGAGGAAATCACGATTCGTGATTTTTTATTAGTTCGAAACAGTTGTAAATCTTTAACCAATTTGGTGAATTGTCGTGAGGTCTAGTAATACAAGAAATGAATTGTAAAATGAAGCCATGACATTATTTGTTCTTTGAACAGTACGAAATATTTAGTTTCCTACTATTTCTATTATAGTAGTTACTTCCTGATGAGTATAAAATATTGTTGCCGTTAATCATAAAAAACAAAGTTGATATTCAGTCAATGTCAACTTTGCGATTGTATTTCGAAGCGCAAAAGCCACCTTAGAAAAATATATATACTTTTTACATACAAAGCTGGACCTTGATATTGAATTATGAATTTGTCGAGGCCACAAGAAGTGTATCTAAACTACGTACCAGATTTGAATTGAAAAACAGTTAAATAAAAATGGAGTTGTTATGATCTGATAACTATATCATGGTAGGTTATTTAAATATTAAGCCCGCGGTTATTTAAATCTGGGACTCTGTAAAACTATATTGTAATACTACTATACCCTTAATTTGATTTGGTTTTATTTTTTTATTAAAAAGCGAAAGTCACTTACTTACTACTTACTCTTTGGCTACTTTCATTTCCTTCAGTCCTTCAAGTCCGAATGGTTAGTAATCACTCATGACTATGCTTTATGTATTTGTTCGACAATTTCATATAGCTGCTAGCTAATTCACCTTTGAAGAGATACCATCCTTCATATTAATAATTGACAAGCTGTAGGCAATAATTTTTTTTCAGTGGCGTACATATCATCACCTCAGGGAATGAAAAAGTACGATAAGTAGTAACGACTAGCTAATTCGATAGTATCTAATGTTACCTGTCTATAATAATAGCAAGAAGTATAAAACATATCTATAACTAGGTACACATAAGATTTCTATGAGATGGTAAGCTTTTAGTACTTTTTTCTTTTAATTTACTTCAAGTTTTACTAAAATATAAAAGTTATATGAGCTTGATATAACCAATTTGGGAAATATGAGGTATAAAACTTGGTAAAAACAAAATAAAAAATTAAACTTGTTTTCCTACTATTCCAGAAGAATAATTTTTGTAGTATTTTATAGTCTCCTAATACGCTAGAATTTGATTAAATGTTTGGTACCCATTTAAAATATTTAAATTATACATGGTGATCCAGTAATGTGAAAAGTTTAATATGTCTGGCATTATTGAAGGTACAAAAACATTTACAGAACAGTAGGCAGTAATAAACTATATATTTTAAAATTAGTTTCGAATATACAGGGTGTTCAATAACTTCAGACTGTAACAAACTTATGTTTTTTAAATGGATTACCTAGTATTTTATTTTATATTTGAATTACCTTTGTTTTTCCCATTATAATATCAAATCGTATGGGATTATACAAGGTGTTTCATACGCTATAATCTATTTTTATATAAAATCGTATTGATTTAAATGACCTGTATATTTCAAAAGAAACAATGGTCAACACATCACTTTCTCATTTTTATTTTAAATTGAATACCCTTTACTTTATACACCATTCAAAAGTACCCTAATTTAATAATACTTTCAAATAATTTTTTAATACAAACTATTTTCAACTACATTGAACAATTGAAAGATTACAACATTTTCAACATAATGTGCTCCATTTGTGAGTTGACAGTACTCTAATCGATGGTAGAATGATACCTTCCAGATTACATAAAATCATAAGTGTTATATATGGTTGAACTCGTATTGAATAGGAGATTCCAATAATGACTAAATATATAGGGTGATGAATTTAAAAAACCAAAGTGACTAATAATATAAGAGAAACAGCAAATCTGGCAACATTGCAAATATGAAATCTGAAATCTCCGTATCCCAAAATAGGTGTACCCCAAATTTTGTACAATTAGGACTAGCAATTTACGAGATAATAAGCCGTTTCCAGACTTTTAAGCCACTCCGTTTATACGTGCCAGAAAACTGGTTGGCCTTAAGTTAGCTTCGCGCTGATGCAACTCGATGCACGCGATTATTGTCACGTAGACATTTATTTACAGATGCCCACAATGAACACATGGTTACCTAGTACAGGACCATCTCTCGATATGCTTAGAATAAATCGTAGGTGGTGTGTAATGCAATAAACAGTTATAATAACAGGAAATATGCTAATTTTGTACGTTTATAAAAGACAATTTATTGTGAAATGATTATATTATTTATAAAAAAACAAAAACTTCAAAATTTTTGTAAAATTCTCCTAGTATAACAATAGCATAGAGATCGCATAGAACAATTTTGAAAAAAATCTGATAAAAGATAACTTTTTACTTTCTTGAATTTTTGAATCAAATATTTGTTTCCAAAATGGCTCACCAGATTTTTTCAAAATTTGTCAGTAACTTATGTGATGAGTATGTTGAGTGTTTTTGAACACAAGATTAATTTTTTGGTTGGTTAAGATAAACCTTAAAACGATACTATTCGGTCCCCTTTTGCAAAAGAAAACATACGCCAATCAAAACAAATCTGAAAACACTGAGTTTTGAAGTGTTTTCACTCAATCCCGCGAAATGCCAATAGGAATCTTGTGACAAAGATGTCAAAAAATGGACATAAATCGTTTTGTTTGTTAAAATATATATTGTAGATAAAAAATCGACACCACTTTCGATAAAAATAAAACAAAAGTTGTTTATAAAAATTCTGTTTATATTCTTAAATAATCTTTTCAAATACCACCTCAATTGACGTAGTATTTTACGGACGATTTTGTTTCGTGAAATTTAGACGCATAATTTCCAAAGAAACAAAATGTTTTCAAAAATTCTAACCTTATGTAACATTACCCTTGAAAATATGAACCATGTATGAGTAGCACCAAATTTTAAGAATTTAATGTTAATTATTTTGATCCCTGTATCGTTATTACAAGGAATGATTCACATAAAATGTTTCTAAACAAGAGTGGATATGATGGCCATATCGCACGAAGATGAAATTTGAGCACGACACCATAGCCGGAGTGCTCAATCGTCTGAATGCAATATGGGCAATCGACTCGAGTTGTACAGTATATTTTTTCTACGACCCACTAATCAAAATCTACAAATTAAAAACATATTTTAGGTTAAGACAAAATAAGTAATTTTAAAATAATTTATGAATTTTGCTAATTTTTAAAATAAAATAAATATGAAAAAAAGTCTCCAGCCGAAAATCGATTCCTGGCTTTTCGAGTGGAAGGTAAGCATCCTGTCCACGCATCTACGGCCACTTTTACGAGTTTTGTTTTAATACTCGTAATTAAAATATTTTCATATAGTTTGATTAAAATTTATTTATTTTTTTTTTCAAAATAAGGTCCAAATAAAAATGATACTATTTTCGATTGTTTATTGATTGTATACAAAAAAACTCATTTTAATGTATATTTAATCTCAATAACTAAAAAATATACTGACAATTAGTTTGGCAGGATTGTTAATTATCTAAAATTTTAAAAATAAAGTTGGGTGTCCAAAATATGACTGTGATTAATGGATGTCATTTTTTGCAGTTTTCAGTTAAACGCAATGACATACTTTCTCGTTTTGTAGTCTGTGCGTAAATAAGCTAATATCCATGTGGATGTAGAAATAGTATATTACTTAACAAGTGTGGAAAGTGATATATTACGCACGTAACGAGTGCAAGAAATACACTTTCCAACGAGTTACATACACTTTTTTCCTACGACCCCAACATTTTCAATCTTCATAAATTTTTAATTTTACCTATTAAATAATGATTATTTTATAAATCTTATAAAATAATCATTAGACATGTATAATTATAGGGCTTAAAATGAAGTTTTAGAATTTTAAATAAATATTTTTTATTGAACTTTTATTGAAAATAAATCTATCTACAAACAGTTAACAAATGCACACTAGTCGATATTAACAATTTAATTATATTACTATAAAATCTATTTCTAAAACTAAAAAAATAAAAATAGCATTTTTTAATTTTGGTCATGTGATCCATAAAAATTAAATGTAAAATGATTTTTGGAACAGTTGTGAAAATTTATTGGTATTTCAGAAACATTACGTGATAATAAAGTATTTTGTATATTTTTTTCAAGTCAAGTCGTGCAATTCTGTACTATTTTCTATATTATTTGAGTATGTTTCCTCTAAAAACATATTTTTTTTCTGTTGCTGTTGAAGTTGAAGGACCTGTTATTGCCCCAACCATTTTCTCTGATATTTTCATTCGTTTTGCGATTGACTCTTCAATGTAACCTTCTGCAACATTTGAAGACTTCCAGCCGCCATGCCGCTTCAAAGAGGTGATGTCTTCACCTGTGTCGACTAGTATTGTTGCAGACGATCGTCTAAAATAATGCCCAGTATACAAATTTGGGTTTTATCATTTTAAAAATTTCGCTACTTCTCGTGGTACATTGCCAATTTTATTTATTCCGGTGCATCTTGTATTTTGATAATTTATAAAAAACTATTTTTCATTAATTTTTGGCTTTAAATTAAAGTATTTTTTAAATGTCCCATAAAAATTGCCAGTAATTGTAAATTTTCTAGTTGCTTTGAGGATATTTTTTTTTTAGAAATTTCAGAAATAATGGACTTGATTATATAAAAATTCTTAGTATTTGAACCTGATGCTCTGTCGGCACGGATGTTACGCTTTTCCCTTTCGTAAATCTGGCAACCCTACTCTTTACTATTATAAAATATACGCAGTAGCATTAAACTAAAACAATACAGTAACGTGCTCTACAAAAACAAAAAAAATGGTACAAACAGTAGGTTTTGCGCTTATATTTTTAAATATAAAATAAAAAATAGAGCTCAAACTAATCCATTACACTGCAACAGCTTTATCCATTCAAAAGTTAATAGGCCACGACGAACTACTGGTCCTTAGTGTATAATAGGATTAGCATCCTCCACTTTCTATTTTTTTAATAATACTAGTAATAATAAAAAGCAATGCAATCATTGTAATTACATAGGTACACAATAATATAGGTATTGAATATATTGTAAAAAAAGTTATTATTCAGTAGAATTAGAATACAAGAAAATTAAATTTAACTCCTTGTCGACTTGGTAAGTTAACTGTTTTTGCACAGACGCACAAGAACATTTTCATATAATCCAATGCTTTAATTGTTCCTGTCTTTGATGTACTAAACATTTTCAACGACAACTCATTTTAAATTAACTTTATTTTTTATGATAAATTAATACCGGTAATATTTTCATTTTTATAATAGAAACTAGCAACTTTTTTCAGTCGACATGCTCTTCCTTTTGGTTTTAACTTATCGTTATAATGATAATAATATTTTCCAAATATTTGCTATCGAGCTCCAGTGCTTCTTTAAATAACAAAAAAAATATTGTGTCCAATCATCATGTAAAAGTCTTAACCATTGCCTGCGTGTATTTTAATCTGTCCTTTTGTACTGTTGCGCCACTGACTACATTAAAATATCATTTTTATACTGTTGAGTAAATCTTTTAATCAAATCATTCAATTTTTTTGTTTGATGAACACACATCAAAGATAAACATCTTTTAGAAGTGTCGAGTTGTGCGTGAATAGCGTCGATTTTTGTTAAATTATGCATAAAAATTACTAGAAATGTTAAGGTAATTCAAATGTAGGAATGGAAGAGATTGAGCGAATCTAAACACCTTGACATGTATTTTTATTATAAATAATATTGCGGTGCTCTCTATTGCAAATGTCAAACAATTAACTGAGAAACGTATGAGAAATATTCCCAAATGTAATAGTAATTATAAAATGAAATATAAAAAATAATGAAGCTATTTAAACTTGGTTTTGTTTTCATTAAATAGTTGACGGGAGCCCACTAACAAATAAGTAGTTCTCATTTGTGTATTT